CGCAAGGTCGTTCCAGAGCCTCCGGGATTGCAGTGACACCGCACGAATTTTGATGCCAGACAGCTGTTTTTAGGGACTTATCAGCACTATTAACAATATATACTATGCGTGGCGTTTGGTTTATCACCGTTCCCAAAATTCTTTACCAAAGGATTTCCTAGTTTTTTGGTAAAGATGTGGGGTAACCGAGGTTATACTGTATAACACGAAATGTTCGTGGATACTTTTCTTTGTGGTTTGATGCCATTGAGATGATTTCGTGGTACAATTTTTCTTGGATATCCTTTATTAACAAACAGTAGGCAGGTGCATCATTCAAATTCGTTTTATTTTTTTCTTGATTCAAAAGCAGCCATCAAAACCACGAATGTTTAACACAACGAACATTTCATGTTATACAGTATGGTAGATTTAGATGACGGCTTGGGCGTCAATGACGATTTTCAGTCTACTCTGGTGACATCTTGATCAGTAATGTCGGATCTATCAGACGCATAGGTCTTGTCTAATAATGTACACAGTGTTTGCTACCTCATCATAGTTTGGAATGGTGAGAGTTTTAGTGGAAATTAGTCAAGGGTGTTCTTCAAGTCAGCGATGTCTAGCTACGGATTTGATTGAAATTCAGCAGTCTAGTGAGAGACAGATATCGGCTCTCTATAAAGTGATGTCGGTCTACAAAAGTATGGGTATAACATTTGTTAGTTTAGTGAACCAGATTTTACACATGCACATTTGTAAAAGAAAAGTCCGTGGACAGTGTTTGTATACTGGATAGCACAGCTCTACAGGAACCACAATTTTCAGGAAAACAATCCTGGTATCATTTTCAATATCAGCCTATTTCAACAGATGCTGTAACTATCTGTGCAAGGGCATTTAGTTTAAAAGTGACCCTTGTTTATTTTTCCAACCTGGTTCAAGTTCACCGTTACAGCGGATTCGGATCTCCAGTTTTTGTCAAATTAAAAAAAGACAGCATAGAATCTTCATAATAATACACTTTTATTTTAAAATAATCAAATCGCTGGTCAATTATAAAGCTTGGAAATAAAATAAGATGAGTAGACACAGATACACATCAACAATTAAACTGGTTCTTGTAACTAAATTCGTTATTTATAAATAAAAAAATGAGTTAAATTTTAATTTGCTTTTTGGATTAATTGTTGTTTGTTGTTCTGATGTGAAATAGGACCTGTCGAGTGTCCATCTCGCAAGGGTTCGATATTGCAAGTACATTGACTTAGCCCATTCTCTTGTGGTTTGCAAAACGCGAAAAGTGACAAAAAATATGTTTGGAGTTGCAGCATTGTCGGCGAATTTCACTTGACTGATTATTGTGAAAACAAATACTGCTAACCAATGTCTCAACCAAACACACAAGCCACTCAAATGTCGTTTTATAATTATAACGATTTTCTGGTGTTTCACATTGTTACATGTTAACCTTTCTTTTTAGTTGAGTATGTGTTTACAATCCATTCATGAATTACTATAAAATGCAAATAACGATTTATATAAACAATAGATAAAATGCATAAGATAATTAACATCTTGAGAAAAAAATACATATGGAATCAAAAATAGCATGCTATCAACATAAAGACAGACATTGATGATATATGATAGATACTGATAAAATTGAGGAAAAAACATCAACATAATAGGCAATGTATAGAGAATAATACATGCCTTTTTCCATATCACACCCAGTATCAACCCGAGACTGCAATATCAGCCCAAGGGCCGAAGGCCCGAGGGCTGATATTGGTCGAGGGTTGATACTGGGTGTGGTATGGAAAAAGGCGTGTTTTATTTGTTTATTACATACTTACTAATAAAAACTACTATCTTATGATTTATTTTTATTTTTGAAATATTGAAAAACGATTTTTTTTCCAAAAGGGGTGTGATATGGGTTTTGCGGGCTGATACGGGTTTTGGGGTGTGATACGGCGGGGGCTGATACAGGTTTTGGGGTGTGATACGGCGAGGGCTGATATGGGTTAGAGCAATTGTGTCGTATCGCATATACAAAAAACCCGTATTTATTAGTAAGTTTGTAATAAAAGAAATTAAGCACAGTCTTTTACAATTATGTATTATGGAATAACATACGGAAATGTTTGCCATAAAGTTATGATTGAAATTCTACATGCATTGTTTCTATAGTAATGTACACCAGCAACACATTATTCTTACATGTGTTTACATATATATTATATATTTACTACAAATCAATATAATAACAAAAAAGAAAGGTCAACAAGAGTTGTAACGGTAGTAGTTATGCCATGTTTTCAAAATGTGTTGGAGTTTTCATCACGCGTCGGGTTATTTTTTTTGTAGAATAGCAACACGTGGGAGACATGTTTGTAACTATCGCACTGTGTAGCCTATATTGCAACCATTGGCTAAAACCAATGTGTTGCAACACAGCTCCCATGACGTCAGATGATGGTAGCGGATATGTTGTTCAACTCCCAAACCAATGTATGTGTGAGCTCTTGAATGTTGTACGGTGCTGCAAGTGTGATCGGTTAATTTAAGTATGACCGACTTTTGTGAAAAAATACTGACATTCGAAGTATCCACCAAACACACTAGCCATTCAAATGTCGTTTTATAATTAACGATTTTCTGGTGTTTCACATTGTTACATGTTAATCATTCTTTTTTGTAGAGTATATAATTACACTTTAAAATGTCATTAAAATCAATACATCAACTTATGAATATCTTTGGAGAAACAAAATACACATGATGACAAAAATAGCATGCTATCAACATAAAGACAGGAATTCATTACATATGATAGATATTTATAAATTTGATAAAAAAACATAAACATCATCAATATACAAAATTAAACACGGTCCTATACGATAATGTATTATAGAATAACATACGGAAATACTTCCTTCAAAGTTATTATTGGAATTCAATTTGCATTTGTTCCTAAAGCAACAAAACTGATATTTGAAAAAGAAAAAAATATATATAATCTTAAAATGTGTTTAAAAAATTTGTAAATATTTACTAGAAAATATAATAAGCAAAAAAGAAAGGTCGACAAGAATTGTAACGGTAGTAGTTGTGCCATGTTTTTAAAATATGTTAAAGTTTTCATCACGATTCGATGTATTTTTTTGTAGAATAACAACGTGTTTGTAACTATCGCCTGTATTACAACCTTTGGCTGAAATCACTGTATTACAACACATGGGAGACATGTTTGTAACTATCGCCTGTTATCGAACTTATCAGATATCGAAAACTTATTAAACTGAAGTAAGAGCCATCGTTATATGCTCGACCCTTATTAATGTGATTGTTCCGATGACGTTGCGTTAAAATATGACATGCATAAGGCATTCACACAAGAATGCGGTGCATTTTAAGTTGGTATCTTATATTTTGTCCACTAAAGCGACGACTGGGCATTGTTCCAAATCCATCTAAAACGTCTCGTATCTTCACATTGCGACACTAACACTGGGTACATATCAAACGCCTTTCTCTATCTACTTAAGATAGGATTTGAGAGTTCAAGTACACTGTTTTAGCCCATTTTTTGGTGGTTTTCAAGACCGGAAAAGTGGATAAATATGTTTGGTGCTGCAAGTGTGATTGGCGAATATCAAGTATACCGACTTTTGTAAAAATAATAGTCTCCATCAAACATGCTAGCCACTCAAATCTCGTTTTATGACTAACGATTATCTGGTGTTTCGCATTGTTACATGTTAACCGTTGTTTTATGACTAACGATTTTCGGGTGTTTCGCATAATTACATGTTAACCGTCGTTTTATGACTAACGATTATCTGGTGTTTCGCATTGTTACATGTTAACCGTCGTTTTATGACTAACGAGTTTCTGGTGTTTCGTATTGTTACATGTTAACCGTTGTTTTATGACTAACGATTTTCGGGTGTTTCGCATAATTACATGTTAACCGTCGTTTTATGACTAACGAGTTTCTGGTGTTTCGTATTGTTACATGTTAAACGTTGTTTTATGACTAACGATTTTCTGGTGTTTCGCATTGTTACATGTTAACCGTTGTTTTATGACTTACGATTTTCTGGTGTTTGGCATTGTTACATGTTAACCGTTGTTTTCTCGTTAAGTATATGTTAACAATACATAAATTGAGGAACATCTTTTGAAAAACAAAATACACATGATGTCAAAAAAGCATGCTATCAACATAAAGATAGGAATTCATTAAATATGATCGATATATATAAAACTGATCAAAGCATAATCATAAGAAGCATAACAAAATTTAACACGGTCCTATACGATTATGTGTTTGAATAACATACGGAAATGTTTGCTTCAAAGTTATGATTGATATTCTACTTGCATTATTTATATGGTAATGTACAACAGCAACATAACTGATATTTTAAGACAAAACAAAAACAATATATATTTTTAAATGTGTTTAACAGTCTTGTATATATTTACTACAAAATAAAAAATAACCACAAAAAAGAAAAGTCAACAAGAATTGTAACGGTAGTAGTTATGCCATGTTTTTGAAATATGAGTTTCCGTCACGAAACAGTGTTATTTTTGGTAGAATAACAACACGCGGGAGTGTTACATGAAATAAAGTGCTGTTAAGTTCAATGTCAGAACCTTACTTGGAATGTTTCATAAAACTCCTTACCTGGAGTTTTACATGAATTGTAGTGTTGTACTGTTCAATGACAGAACCTTACCGGGAGTGTTCTATAATATATTACATGTTAACCGTTGTTTTATGAATAACGATTTTCTGGTGTTTCGCATTGTTACATGTTAACCGTTGTTTTATGACTCACGATTTTCTGGTGTTTCGCATTGTTACATGTTAATTGTGTTTTATGACCAACGATTTTCTGGTGTTTCGCATTGTTACATGTTAACCGTTGTTTTTTGACTAACGATTTTCTGGTGTGTCGCATTGTTACATGTTAACTTTGTTTTATGACTAACGATTTTCTGGTGTTTCGCATTGTTACATGTTAACCGTTGTTTTATGACTAACGATTTTCTGGTGTGTCGCATTGTTACATGTTAACTGTGTTTTATGACTAACGATTTTCTGGTGTTTCGCATTGTTACATGTTAACTGTGTTTTATGACTAACGATTTGCTGGTGTTTCGCATTGTTACATGTTAACCGTTGTTTTCTCGTTAAGTATATGTTAACAATACATAAATTGAGGAACATCTTTTGAAAAACAAAATACACATGATGTCAAAAAAGCATGCTATCAACATAAAGATAGGAATTCATTAAATATGATCGATATATATAAAACTGATCAAAGCATAATCATAATAAGCATAACGAAAAGTCAACAAGAATTGTAACGGTAGTAGTTATGCCATGTTTTTGAAATATGAGTTTCCGTCACGAAACAGTGTTATTTTTGGTAGAATAACAACACGCGGGAGTATTACATGAAATAAAGTGCTGTTATGTTCAATGTCAGAACCTTACTTGGAATGTTTCATAAAACTCCTTACCTGGAGTTTTACATGAATAGTAGTGTTGTACCGTTCAATGACAGAACCTTACCGGGAGTGTTCTATAATATGTTGTGTTGTAATGTTCAATGTCATGACCTTAACGAAATCGTTCCATGAAATGTTGTGTTGTACTGTTCAGTGTGGGAACTTAACCGGGAGTGTTACATGGCATTAAGTGTTGTAATAATCAATGTCAAAATCTTGCCAGGAGTGTTACACAAAATGTAGTGTTGTACTGTTTAATGTCAGAATCTTATCGGGAATGTTCTATGAAATGTTGTGTTATAATGGTCAATGTCAGAATATTACCGGGAGTGTTACATGGATGTAGTGTTGTGCTTTTCAGTGTGAATACCTTACCGGGAGTGTTCCATGAAGTGTTGTGTTGTACTGTTAGATTTCAGAACCTTACATGGAGTGTAACATGGAATGTAGTGTTGTACTGTTCAATGTCAGAATCTTATCGGGAATGTTCTATGAAATGTTGTGTTATAATGGTCAATGTCAGAATATTACCGGGAGTGTTACATGGATGTAGTGTTGTGCTTTTCAGTGTGGAAACCTTACATTGAGTGTAACATGAAATGCTGTGTTGTACCGTTCAATGTCAGAACCTTAACGAGTGGGTTACATGAAATGTAGTGTTATACTGTACAGTGTGGGAACTTCACCTGAAGTGTAACATGAAATGTTATATGTTATGTTATACTGTTCAGTGTTGGAACCTTACCGGGAGTGTTCCATGACATATTATTTTGTTATGCAATGTTGGAACCTTATCAGTGGTGTAACAGGACGTGTAGTGCTGTATTGCACAGTTTGGGTATGTTCCCGGGAGTGTTCCGTGAAAAGTTGTGTTGTAATGTTCAATGTCAAAACCTTACCGGGAATGATTCACGAAATGTTGTGTTGTACTGTTCAGTGTGGTAACCTTACCGGGAGTGTTCCATGAAATTCTGTGTTGTACTGCTAGATATCATAAACGTACCAGGAGTGTTCCATGGAATGTTGTGTTTTAATGTTCTACGTTAGAACCTTACCGGGAGTGTTCCATGGAATGTTATATTGTACTGTTTAGTGTGGGAACCTTACCATTAGTGTAACATGAAATACTTTATACTTTTCAATGTCAGAACCTTACCGGTAATGTTACATTAATCGTAGCGATAAACTGTTCAATGTCAGAAAGTTACCGGGAGTGTTCCATAAAATGTTGTGTTGTAATGTTCAATATCAGAACATTACCGGGAGTGTTACATGAAATGTAGTGTTGTACTGTTCAATGTCAGAACCTTACCGGGAGTGTTCCATGAAATGTTGTGTTGCAATGTTCAATGTTTGGACCTTACCAATTATGTTACATAAAGCGTATGCTGAACTGTTCAATGACACAACCTTACCGGGAGTGTTCCATGAAATATAGTGTTGTACTGTTTAACGGTAAACCTTACCGGAAGTGTTACAGGAAATGATGTATTGTACTGTTGAATGTCAGAACAAATATAAATTCTTTTTTTTTTAATTTTTTTTTAAGAGGCTGTAAATAACACATAAGGTGACAGTACCCAAATCGGATCACCAAACCATAATTTTTTTAAATCATTGAAAAATCTGAGGAGGAATTATATTCATTGATGGTTGTATCAACGAAAGAATATTGATGGGTGTTCTTACAAACGAAATAAGCACCCGGGGCTCACTTGAAATTTTTAAAGAACGCTCTGAAGTCATCAATCAGCGTTTCCGGTCTTTTGCGAATGTCGGGACCAAAAACGGATCAAGACTTGAATTTTGCAGTATCGTACGCTTCAAATGAATATTTTTTTGTCAGCATATTAACATCTTATGAGTTTTTTGAATGTATATGACAAAAAGTATTTCTATAGTGTGAGTTTATTCCTATAGTCCAAAACATAGACCATAGTCGCCGCACAAGCCATGTTTTAAATACCTAATAAAAACTTTGACATTTGAGTTTGAAATACGTTTTCTTGCGCTACTTGACCGTAAAAACTAATTATCTGTAGACAAAAAATGGTGCATAGCTATCTATTCTAAGATTTCATCATTGTTATAACTGATTTGCTGACACATTTATTTATTTATAAGTATTTTTGCAAAAAGTGATCCGATTTGAGTACCGATCCGATTTTTGTACTGCCACCTTTACGCCATAAGTCCTTAACAATCGCTCTGACGTTAACTGAAAAAATATAAACAAACCAACAATCTCTTAAATATGTAATTTAACAAAACAATTCCATCAAATATATATGAAATTAAATGCAAAGTGAAATATTAGCTAATACCTTACCAGAAAGATTCTGGATGGATTAAGTCAAGGTAGTAACGAAGTGTAAACGCAACGTTTAATAGCAAACAAAATCGATGAAGCAAGGATTGAAATATAATATATATATAATATACATGGGAACTCTTGAAAAATGTACAAGGGGGATAGGAGTTGGTGTTCCGGAAGGGAAAGCGTTTTCTGCTTTATCGACAAAATACGCCATGTATGACTAGGTCAAATTCAAAAAGTGAAAGCCTTCCCGATCCTTGAATAAACTGACCTACATTAAGTCCACACAATGTCTCGTTATCAAAGGGATAACTGAGGTAATGGCAACAAAACCACCTACACGTATTCGAGCAAATTTAAAATTCTCACAAGTAAACATGAGAAAATAGCTGAAGGAAACAAAAATGACATTTATGTGGTCATCAATGCTCCAAAGGAAAAGGAAACACTTCGATACAAAATAAAACTTCAATCATAAAATCGCATGGTTAGATCTCCTTCCTTTTTCATATACCCTACGAAATTTTACAGTCATTGAAGCACTAATTCATTTATGTTGATGTGATATATGACCTTAGGGTGTTGATGACCTTGCTATAAGAGGTATTAATATAATATGATGGCAGAGTTTAGATCTTCAAATATTGCATTAATTTTAATTGATGAATGAACTGAATATTATGCACGACTTTTGGACAAAGAGTAACTTTGATGTGCTGAATGACCTCGGAACTTTAACTGATGCGATAAAGAGTCTTACCCTTATCTTGAGACACTGAACAACCCGTTTTTGGTGTAGGACAGCGAGACAATGAGTGACTATAGGATAAAACTCTAGAAATTTAGAAAGGAATTATGATGCATATTTGATGACCGAGAAGTTCAGGTTGACCTGATGGATGGTTGTATGAACAATTTACAAGATGAATAGCTTTAATAAGATATCTTTAAAACATGTATATAGACACTGACTATTATGATACAGGTGAATTCATGAGGTGGATATCTGATATTTATTCAACGTCACCAAATGGCTGCCAATCGCAAAAAAAAACAACCTGAGAGTTTACGAAATTAATTTGTTAACAAACATTTTATGGGTGGTTAAATGATCAGTGTTTTGTTTTACCAATTGATCAAATGATTACATCAGATACGATTAAAAGATAACAATCAAATTCTAAAATTTCGAGCACCTCTTATAAGTTTAAATTTACATTATTTTTATGTTCAAATGAAAATAGTAATAAACATCAATCTCAAAGAACATTACGTTAAGTTAAAATCACCTGATAGTAAATAGACATCAATCTCAAAGAACATTACGTTAAGTTAAAAACATCTGATAGTAAATAGACATCACTCTCAATATAATTTCTCTATAACAATAACGAATATATCTTGTGATGCAGGCGTACACAATGGGATACAGTGCATCCATGTTACAAGCGTATAAGTAGGGGCTACAAGTGTAAAAGTAAGGAAGAGAACTCTAAAAAATCTGATACAGGAATTAGTGAAGAAGAACTCCCATACAAGTGTTTAGAAATCGCAAGCATGTATTTACAAACAGGAAGATAATGTATTATATGATATAGGGGAGATGACTGTAAAGCCAAAATATCTCTCGTAAACTGTGCTGACCAATGGATAGGAGATAACTCAAGATATTGGCATTTCTACTGCGCAGAGATAGCATACACATTAACTGGAGTAAATATATTTTCGCTTCGACATTTCCTTTGCCATTCCTTATCGTTTTAGATTCAGTTAGAAGCAGTCTGTGGGAAGTTAACAAAGACAAATTTGATTCTATCATTTGTCCTGGAAATGACACCCTTTCTTCCGTTGAGAAGAGGCTCTTTCTTCACGTCATTGTTGAAGAGTATGTCTTCGTTTTTTATCTGAACATTGCAAAATTGAACACATCATAAACATGAACCTACATCAATTATATCAAAACCTGACGTCATAATCACCACATGACGTCACACAAACATTATAATAACATGAAGTCAGCGCGCAGATTCATAAGTCTTGTTCATAAGTCTTGCTAATTGAAATGTCACTGTCACTTAAACGTTTGGAATATTAATTTATTAGCAACGTCGTTATCATTAATAAGAAGGAAATGTATTAACCCTTCCAACTTTATATTTCCTTGTTGACAATCTTATATCTCCGAAGTAGTAACACCGCTACCATTACATACAAGAAACTCGCTTACCCTTCCTAGCCCTGCCTTTGCGTCCACCAATTGCGCCACCGTCACGGTGTTCAGGATGAGTCGTCTCGTACACATGCTCCTGGCCTTACGAATATAACATAACAACATACACTTGCAGTATTCAGTTGAACAAAACACTCACTGAAATGTCTTTACAGAATATAATGTTTTTATTTCTGTTTCCATGGGAAAAAACATGGAAAATGGTGATGACTTTATCGCTCTTTATACAGTATCACAACTAAACATGCGGAAAGCGTAGGTTAACCAATGCATCCCTAATATAATAATAATATGTCACAATATTGTATAACTCTGTTCAGAGGTTTGACCAAATTCGCTACCCAATACTGGGAGGCACTCGCATATCAGCTTACCAAAGTCCATCATTTGGCAAACTTTTCAAAGTTCACATGCGCTCTTATAATGACCAACCTTTATAACCTAAGAAGTGCTTAAAGTTTATGCTAGCATGATAGGGACATAGAACACAACTTCTGAATAGGTAACTAAATTGGGAAGAGCGACCGTATTATATTTGGATCGAATAATTATCTTGGTCCATTAATTTTTTACTCTCAGAATTTATAATGTCTTTATAATATTGTCAATACATATCTGCAGTTTTTGCAGTGTAAGGGGAATCTTAATTTAAAGAAATATGATGCACTGTTTAAACGGCATTAACTAATAGTCATTTTTTGCCAGATCCAGGATAATCCATTAAATGTTTCTTCGAATTATTGTCAAAACTTTGGATAGATTCATCTGGATTAATAATTTCTTCAACAGGTACCCAAACGAGATCAGACGACGAACGTAAAACCATAACATAGGATCAACGACACCAAGTTAGCTGTATCTAAGTCAGTAGGATAACAATTTTTCTTCAACCGGTACCTGAACGAGATCAGACGACGAACGTAAAACCATAACATAGGATCAACGACATTAAGTTGGCTGTATCTAAACCCGTAAGATAACATGCTATAATATAAACTTTGTTCTAAATTAATGTATTTGTTTGTATCATCATTTCGAGAAGCGCCACCTAGTGAACAAAACAAATACATAATGTTGGCAACAAACACATAGAATGATAAAAATACAAATGAATCATTAATCAAACCAAATATTACGTTTTTATAACGTTGCCAATACATATATGTAGTTTTTTGCAGTGTAAGTGAAATCTTACTCTAGATAAATATGTACACTGTTTAAACCTTTATCCCCTTCATCAGCTTCACCATGTAGTCATTCTTTGCCAGATCCAGGATAATCCATTAAATATTTCTTCGGAATATTGTCCTAACTTTGGATAGATATATTCTGGATTAACATTGACATTAGCCGGTAACTGAACAAGATCAGACGACCAACGTAAAACCCTTACATAGGATCAACGACACAAAGTTAGCTGAATCCTAGCCCATAGGATAACAATTTCGTCAACCGGTACCTGAACGAGATCAGACGACGAACGTAAAACCATAACATAGGATCAACGACACCAAGTTAGCTGTATCTAAGCCCGTAGAATAGCATGTTATACTGTAAACTTACCTCCAGTTTGTTCTAAATTAATGTATTTGTTTTTATCATCTTTTCGAGAAGCGCCACCTAATGAACGAAACAAAAACAGAAGGTTGGCAATAAACAAATATAATGATAAAAATAAAACTGAATCATTAATCAAATCAACTCTTACGTCTTTATAACGTTGCCAATACATATATGTAGTTTTTTGCAGTGTAAGGGGAATCTGAATCTAAAGAAATATGTACACTGTTTAAACTTGTATCTCCTTCATCGGTTTCACCATGAAGTCATTCTTTGCCAGATCCAGGATAATCCATTAAATGTTTCTTATGATTATTGTCCTAACTTTGGATAGATATATTCTGGATTAACATTGACATTAGCCGGTAACTGAACAAGATCAGACGACCAACGTAAAACCCTAACATAGGATCAACGACACAAAGTTAGCTGAATCCTAGCCCATAGGATAACAATTTCGTCAACCGGTACCTGAACGAGATCAGACGACGAACGTAAAACCATAACATAGGATCAACGACACCAAGTTAGCTGTATCTTAGCCCATAGGAAAAAATTTCGTCAACCGGTACCTGAACGAGATCAGACGACGAACGTAAAACTATAAAATAGGATCAACGACACCAAGTTAGCTGTATCTAAGCCCGTAGGGTAACAATTTCTTCAACCGGTACCTGGACGATATTAGACGACGAACGTAAAACCATAACAAAGGATCAACGACACCAAGTTAGCTGTATCTAAGCCCGTAGTATAACAATTTCATCAACCGGTACCTGAACGATATTAGACGACGAACGTAAAACCATAACAAAGGATCAACGACAACAAGTTAGCTGTATCTAAGCCCGTAGGATAACAATTTCTTCAACCGGTATCTGGACGATATTAGACGACGAACGTAAAACCATAACAAAGGATCAACGACAACAAGTTAGCTGTATCTAAGCCCGTAGGATAACAATTTCTTCAACCGGTATCTGGACGATATTAGACGACGAACGTAAAACCATAACAAAGGATCAACGACAACAAGTTAGCTGTATCTAAGCCCGTAGGATAACAATTTCTTCAACCGGTATCTGGACGATATTAGACGACGAACGTAAAACCATAACAAAGGATCAACGACAACAAGTTAGCTGTATCTAAGCCCGTAGGATAACAATTTCTTCAACCGGTATCTGGATTGAATCAGACGACGAACGTAAAACTATAAAATAGGATCAACGACATCAAGTTAGCTGTATCTAAGCCCGTAGGGTAACAATTTCTTCAACCGGTACCTGAACGATATTAGACGACGAACGTAAAACAATAACAAAGGATCAACGACAACAAGTTAGCTGTATCTAAGCCCGTAGGATAACAATTTCTTCAACCGGTATCTGGACGAGATCAGACGACGAACGTAAAACCATAACATAGGATCAACGACACCAAGTTAGCTGTATCTAAGCCCGTAGGATAGCATGCTTTTATATAAACTTACCTCCAGTTTGTTCCAAATCAAGGTATTTGTCTGTTTCATCATTTTGAGAAGCATCACCTTATGAACAAAACAAAAACGTAAGATTGGCGAAAAACACATGTAATAATTAAAAAAAATAAACAGAATCGTTAATCAAACCAACTAGTATGCCTTTATAACCCCCACAATACATATCTGTAGTTTTTTGCAGTGTAAGGGGAATATTAATCTATACAAATATGGTGCACGGTTTAAACATGTTACCCCTTAACGGCATTAACTAATAGTAATTGTTTGCCAAATCCAGGATAATCCGTAAAAAGTTTCTTCAGAATATTATCTAGACCTGAAAAAAACATATGTATGACTATTGCGGATTAATATTATCTACAATCGTTGACTGAACGAAATCACAAACGAACGTAAAACCATACATAGGATCAATGCCACAAACTTAGCTGTATCTAAGTCCGTAGCATAGTATAATAATATAAACTGACCTCCGGGTGGTTCCATATTTATAATATGAAACGGCAAAGCCTTAAAAGAGCGTAGCTTTTGTTGATCTTTGATATTTACTGATTCAGCATACAACTTTCAGAATGAGATAAGATAAACATTATTTAAAGTCAGCAAGTCGCGGAATAATAATAAAACACAAGCTCTAATGAGATTAAGATCGACATAACAATAGGGGAGACCGGGTTTTTGAACGTTATTCATTTTTTCCTGTGGAAAGATCGGATGGCCGAACGAGTTCCGCCAAGGGGTAAGTTCGGACAGGCATTCAGCTGAATCAGCACCCATTTGAATCAGCTTAATTATGACGTCATAAAGCATGCAACGTCAGATTTTAACCCAAATTTTACGATTTTTTATGTGTTAACTACATGGGCCGAACTTGCCATGGTATTATTGGCCGAACCTGTTTAGGCCCAAATTGATATTTCAATAAAATCGTATCGTACAGCAATATGGTAGTGAGTGATTGGCTTGGTGTTTATGTATCATCGTTTGAAGCTGTCTGTGTGTTACACGTTTGACTGTAAACAAGTGGCAATTCCGTTTCAAAAAGCTCGCATAACAAGAAGCGAGATCATATTTTCTTTCTACCCTCTCTAAAGTATTTTTCTCCTGTTAGGTAATTTTGCATAAGAGTTTTTTCGTTGAATGCCCAGCCAACTAAACATCCTTAAAGATGTAAATATTAGCTCAAAAACAAAAATATCAAGGGTGGCCGAACTTGCCCCTGTCTCCCGTATGTAGATTTTTTTTATCATTGATGATTGGTAAAAATGTATTTACAATATAAATTTGGCATCAATGACGTTTTTTTCTTTCAGTCATACTTAATTAGACATTTGTTCTTGTGCGTAAACTATATGATGGGTCGGGTGGCGTAGAGGATAGTGTGCTCGTCTTCACCAAGATGGCCGGATTAAATCCCGGTGATCTGCCCGACCACGCGTTTTTTTTCTGATACTCCAGATTCTTCCCATATTAAGAATTGAATTGTCTGCATGCTTCCGTCAGGGCACAAAATGAATGATTGAGATAAGCTGGGAACAACTGTTTGGTAATTGCTATAGAAAAAAGTGCATATTGTATATTTGACAATTAGTCTAAGTAAATGCATAGAGATGTTAGTTCAAAAAAATCCAAAAACATTTTGTAATACTTTGATGTAACTGATACTGTTTTTATTTCGATACGTAGTCTCAATTACTGTTCTTAAGAATATAGCCAGACTTTCAAAATGTTAAATATTTCGTTCAAATTCTCAACAAATGGAAATCAAAAGCTGATGAAATTTTAGATGATGAAAAAATAAATGTACACGTTAAAATATTGGTTTAATGCCGGCTCTTTTTGAAGATATCTCCCGGTAGAAATATTAATATAATAACCGGGTATATGACAAAAAAGATCTTCAGAAATTATCCGCATTGTACTTTTGGTGCCTTTGGCAAAAACTGAAATAAAGAAAAGTCTTGAAGCACCAACAAAGAGATAAATGGAACGGATATCAGTTCCAGGATATTCCGGTCATTTTGCATCCTTCCGGATATAACCGATGAAGGCCGATGTATTGTGACGTGCTTGTGACGTCATAGTATGACAATTTCTGAACGAAGTTTCATGCCGGTTAGTATTACATTTTATGTGATAGACTTTTTTCACTCATAATGTATATGAGTTTTTTTTATCTAAATAAACAAGTAATAAAACATGAAGATTGTTTTCACTATATGAAGATGTTCAGGTATGGGTGGAAACAAAATTGTCTTTACTTCAAAGATACTCTTCCTGCTTCCCCACTGGACGTCTACTTCCGGACAAAAACAGTTAAAGGCAATGTGTAGCATGGGGACGCAAATCTGTTTACGCACGAATGTGTTACCATTGAAGAGCTTCGCTCAGGCGCCTTCGGCGCCCGAGAGTTACGCTCATAAAATCATTGTTATCATCTGTTCGAATGGTATCGTTTTGAGTAGCGCCACATTATTAACAAACCAAATGCATAAGGTAGATATCAAACTATGATAACGATAAAACTAAAATAGAATCTTTAACAAATGTCCTATGAATAGATAATTCATATACTAGTAGCTTATTTTATCTCGGACAAGCCCATTCGTTCCGTCATTGGCCAGGATCATTTATTTGCTCAGTCTTTGACAATTCTTAAATTGAAGGCAACATCACGTCGGAATAACAAAGATACGTTATGTAAATAAAAAAAGAATATTCCAGTTCGTCGCTAATGAGTTTAAGAAATCAATATATGTTAAAATTAATCATGCTTGTCGTATCATGCCATGGACCATTGATCCCATAAAATTGTTAGGAAATGTCAACTCATGTGTAGACTTTCTGTATAGTTATAATCCCGACAAGAAGCCAATAATCATATGTGACAAAACAATGAATATTTAACAAGAGTTTAAACTCTGCAGTATGACGCAAAATCATTTTGAATTAATAATATCTACAACCGGTAACTGAACGAGAACAGACGGCGAACTTAAAACCATAACATAAGATCAACGACACTAGCCTATCTGTATCTGAGTCCGTAGCATAGCATGCTATAAAATAAACGTACCTTCGGGTGGTTTCATCTCCATATATGCATTGTTATCATCTGTGAAAATGAAATCGTTCCGAGTAGCGCCATCAACAAAACAAATACATATGGAAGATAACGAACTATGATATTAAAAGATAAAAAAGATGGTTTATATATATATCCTATGAAAAGATAATCTATATCAAAGTAGTTTATTTCATATCGGACAAGCCCATCTGTCCGTACATTTGCTAGGATCAAATGTTTGCTCAGTCTTTGACAACTGTTAAATTAAGGGCATCATAACGTCAGAATAACATAGCTACGTAATGTTAACACAAAATAGTATTCCAGTTCGTCGCTAGAAGTTAGGAAACCAATATATTTAAAAAGGGACAAATTTTAATCTAGAGAAAATAGCTATTGCACAAAACAGATACATTAAGTAGTCACCAATAGAAAATTGAAATGAATGTATCCACCAATCAGATTAGAGTATTTGGTATGAAAACGAAGAAAAATAAATTATAAGATAATGATAAAAATAATGTTGCCAATACATATCTGGAGTTTTCTGCAGTGTAAGGGGAATCTTAATCTAGACAAGTATGGTGCACTATTGAAACCTCTTTCCCCTTCATCCGCATTAACTAATAGTCATTCTTTGCAGGATCCAGAAAAAATCATTAAACATGTCTTCGGATTATTGTCCAATCTCTGAATAAATATATTCTGGATTAATAATATCCACAACCGATAATTGAACGAGATTAGACGACGAACGTAAACCATAACATAGGATCAACGACAGTAGGTTAGCGGTATATAAGCCCGTAGGATAATATGCTATAATATATACTCACCTCCAATTAGTTCCAAATAAGTATGCTTGCTGTTATCATCATTGTGAATAGCACCACCTAATGAACAACACAAATACACAAGGTAGGCAACAAACAAAGATTGTGATAAAAATTACACAGAATCATTAAAAATTGTCCTATTAATAGATAATCAATAGCAAAGTAGTTTGTGTAATCTAGGACAATATCATTTGATCCATCAATTGTAGGGATCGAATGAAAAATATAATGAAACAAACAAATGTATAAGCAACAGTAGTGTTTTGAACGGGTAAACATGCGTCGTTGTCAGACCACGATTTGAACCATGAAACGTTCGAATCTTAACGACAATTTTCCTACCATATCTCGATTACCTCGTAAGCGTTGCTTAGATGTCGGGTTTTCATATTTTGACATATCAATATCGCCTATAAGTTGTATGTTATTGCCATATTACATTATTACATATGCTTTTAAAGTGTTATTATCTAGGTAAGCTGAAATAAAATGTGCTTCTTCCAACTAGGTGAATAAGTAACCAAGGCGTAGTACAATTGCAAGTATCATACTACCTTTCCATCCATCAACAATGTTTACTTTTAAACTGTTTTTGGTGTTGAGGATTAGTTGTTGATATTTGGTCAGTTTGATCCCTTTTGGTCCTTGAATCAGGCCTGCAATCATAGCCGGGATCCATATCTTATTCACAAATAAGGTGCGTGGTTTAAACCTTCTCGCTTAATTTGATTGAAATCGGTAGCACATTTTCGGGAAAAGCTCGTAAATGTGAAATGCTTATGGAAGGCCGATATAACTTACCAAAAATTACTCTTTTTTTAACTCCTTAACACAACCAAACATTATACCAAACCGAAGGAATGACTTCGTATTATTATCACAATATTCCAGCAGACTGTAGCTTTTCCTACGGAAATAATATATGGCTGTCTCCTTACTGACAATTTTGTTGTTGTCACATGATGTTGAATTTTTTGATGACTTTATCGGGACTTCAACCGCGTTCCTCGATCTTCATTTCAACATGACCAAAATGGACCGCCCACTGCTAACATGTAACATCAGCGAAGCCATTTTGATCTTCGTATCATATCGTTTTATTTCAAGTAGCAACACCTATGCCTCATTAGCCTAATTAAAACATTGGGTTTCAAAAGATGCATTTTGCTTTTGACAAGTATAATGGATAATCCCAATATTGATTTTGTTGGGATTTGTTTTTCTTTCTGTATTTCCATATTCTCGAAACGAACAAATCGCCGTAGTAAAAATTAGAAAACAGACAAAAAACGTTACCTTCGTCTCCATTGTTACGTCGTCCCTGGATGGTAGCTCTGCTTTGGAGTTCGAGGCTGGTGGTGTTGCCTTGGGTGTTTTGGCTGAGTTTGGCATCAGTTTTACCTTGACCATTATAACAAGACATTAACAGCACTTATTGTCACACAATTACGGAGTAGCAACTTATATTGCATGTATGCATATTTCATACTGTTGTCTATTAAGCAAGGATATTTTAGCAAATGGTGTGTCCTACGCATCGGTATTGTTAATGGACTTTATAAAGTACCTATATTAGCAAGAATCACATGTGATATAGAACTAAGACAAAAAAGAATTAAAATACGGAACACCAATTTTGCATTTAAATAGATAGTCATTCTAATCACTTTCTTGTTCTAACGTCATTTAGTCAAGAGGTTTGATCAGCAAAGTTAGTGCTGTCACAACCAGGTCAGTTACGTCACAATGATGATCTCCTGATTAAATAATGTTGGTGTGTCAAAATACGTATGGCAGTATTTATGCTTTGCAATGGGAGGTTGCAGAATAGTTATAAATGTTAAATATCTATTTCACGTATATCCCTTTTTCACATGCATTGAAACACAAACATGCTATATTTTAAGCAGCCTGGGCTCAAGATATAGAATAGCTATTAAGTTATTTTAGGACCAAATGGTCAGTAAACGTTGCTTGTCACCGAGTGTCGCATCGTACAATTATTTGAAAACACTTTACAGATCAAGCAGACGACTAAACTATTTCTATCAAAAATAGCATGGAATAATTTCAATATAATTCTGATTTGTAAAGAATAAAACATCCAAATCATATATTTACAAAAATGTCATATTGTCTTCGAAAATGTAGCAATTAAATATGACCAGGATACAATATAACTTGATCAATACACATTTTACCTAATCTAGGTAAGACTTGAGGAACTTTGTATAAAAGTTGTAGGCAATCGAAATACTGTACGCACAAATCAGTAACACAATCCCGATTGTCAATATTAACCTTTTGGTGTATAGTTATTCTCTACCTGATAAGGGGAAATCTATAATAAACATCTTCTGTTCTATAAACGTCTGACTAGTCAAGTCTGGTCTACCTCCGTTATAATGGTTTCGTGTGGCTACTGATATTGTATAAACATTGACTAATTGTTCTGGTAGAGTTCGTTTCCAACATGCCTAGTTATACGTGGAACTCTAGCTTAAGTTAGCTATGTACTTGTTCATGTCCTAAAGTAGCAATATTTACCGGTTCACTTGCAACTTTGAACTGACATTCTTGATACTTTAATTATGGTCCAACTTTGAATATATATATGCATGACCATTGTGGATTGATAATATCTACAACCGATAACTGAACGAGATCAGAAACGAACTTAAAACCGTAACATAGGATCAATGCCAGAAACATAGATGTATCTAAGTCCGTTGAATAGCATGCTAACGTACCTCTGGGTGGATTAATCTCTATATATTAGTTGTCATATGTGAAAATGCTTTAAAAATAAAATAAATAAATAAATAAATATATAACATTTGATATAACGCCCTATATAGCTGACATAAGCCACTCTAAAGCGCTTTACAGTACATAGATATACAATTTATACAACTAGCATTTACATTAAGCATTTTATTTTTGAGGAATTCGCAGGAACTGCCTTATCAGGCACTAACAACTAGTCCTATGCCTCCTGACTAATATCTCCCTATGTGTATATGCCTGCGTGTGTGCTGGAAATGTAATGCGTTCTGTTTGTAGTGAGACCGTGCTTCCAATGGCATTGTTTGGCATCTAATGACATTGCCTGTTGTCTTATCCTTTTGTTAACCCAATAAAATTTGTTGAAAACAAGATATGGCATCATTTATAGTGCCACCTCACTTTCTCTGAATATCTATGCGTACGACGACTTCGGAGATCGAACCCCGGCTGCCTGTCTTCATTTCAAATCAATTTTATTGTATTCAAAACACAATTGGATTAGGCACAGGCATTGCCTATACAAGCCCTTTCCAGAGAAAATACACACATTTCATACATTCATATAAACATATATATATATAGAGAGAGAATAGTATAAAGAAGGTGTAGTATAAGTTAAAATTAAAAGGAGAATACTAAAACCATATAATACATATTAACAGAAAATAATAACTAGAATATCATAGATTTTAACATTTCAATTACTATAGTCTAATTACTTCAATTAGTATTATAGCCTAGTGTTTGGTTGGAGGCATTTCAAAGACACAGTCACTATACACAGTGGTATCCTTCCCAATTACACCAGAGTTTTTGTTATAAAATAGGAAATACATACACGTTGTAAGATAACTTTTAGAATAGTTTAAGTTAAAATCTTCCAGATTTTTCAATAAACTCAAGAGCACATGAGAGAATACTTTTATTTGATTCACTGCTAAGGTTCATATCACCCTTAGAGAAAGTAATAGTATTTAAGATGATGTTATCAATTTCGTTATAATTATAAAAAACTTGTCTTTCATCTATATATTTGGGGCAATTGAGGAAGAAGTGATTTGCATCTTCAATAATATAACAACAGTCACACTTAGGGTTATCTGTAAGATGATCATTATATAAATCTGATTTTAACTGGCTGACTTTATTCCGTAGTTGACATACTGTTATATTCAACTTCCTGGAGCCACCGTATTCAAAAATATCTGTACAGTTAGATGGTTGCAAAACGTGTAGTAAGTCCAGTTTTAACTGGCTCAATGAAGTGCGTTTTGGAAAAATACAGTCTGGCCTATTCCATAGGAAAAAAGCTATTTGTATAAAAGTTGGTTCTGCACAAGGGAACAATACAGTTTATATGATGTCTAAGGCGAGGATTAATATCATTATTAAAATATGGAACAAACAAATCATCATGATGGTCAGGACAGTCACGCTGCAGTATCTTGAAAAATAACATACATAGATAATTATCACGTCTTATTTAGTGTATCTACACCAACTTCCTTATATATTAAGTTATGACTGCAAACATATTGCCAATGTCGAACGACATCTGAACAGTTGACCGAGGAGACCGAGTTTCGATAACTGGAGGAAGGGACGCAACTCTGTCTGAGAGCGATGAAGAATCGGTCTGCATTTTTTTTTATTAACTTTTTTTTTTTTTTTTTTTTTTTTTATTTTTTTTTTTTTTTTTTTTTTTTTACAATATCTTATATATAATTTAAGTAATATATTATTTTGTACTAGAAATACAACATCATGTAATAAGTTCAGTTACCTGTATATACAATATCATAATGTACTAGAAATACAATATCATGTCATAATATAAAAAAAAAGTTACGACTTGTACCTCTTCTCAGACCTGATTTAATTCTGATACATTCTAATTGGACTGATTCCAATAAGTCACTTTCACCCTGGGTGCAATTATTCCACACATAACAAGCATATTCTAGTGTTGGTCGTATAAAAGATTTATAAATTATTTCAAGAGATTTTCTTTCTAACTCGTGTTTGAGCATTCGCATTATTTGTAGTTTTGTACAGCTTTTTTATATATATAATTAACTTGATCTGACCATGATCCACGACTATTGAAAAACAAGCCAAGATGTTTATGATTTTTTACATTTATAACAACACTATTTGAGAATACCAAATCTGGATGAGATGTCTCAAAATTATTTTTATTAGACATTAGTAATGATAAGTTTTTACTTGGATTAAATGATATTCCCAACCCAGAGAGACATTCTCCTTAAATCCTCATTAAGAATATCTGCAGCATGTCTGCCATCACCATCTATCAAAACGTAAAGAGAAGTGTCATCAGCAAAGAGTTTGACATGGGAGCGGAGTTCATATTCTAGGTCTTTAATAAATATTAAAAATAAATAAGGCCCGAGAACCGAGCCTTGGGGCACACCAGCTTTTAATGTTTGTACATTTTACTTGTAACCATCTATTAATACCCTTTGTTGTCTATCAGTAAGATAGCAATGAATCCAGTTCAAATCGTCGTCACAAATTCCATATTTCTTCAATTTGTAAATCATTCCACTGTGCCAAACCCTGTCAAAAGATTTGCTGATGTCACAAAATACGATCCTTGCCTCTTTTCCTTGATCAAGTTGATTTGAAGCTTCATCATATAAATATATTAATTGGTTAACTGTGGAGTCATTGGGAAGGAAGCCGGACTGATTATTTGAGATAACATTATTCTCAGATAGAAAATTAAAGAGATGTTTAAAAACTATTTTTTCAAGAGGTTTACTAAATAATAATGCGAAAGAGATTGGTCTATAGTTACTGGGGTCACCTCTCCCTCCCTTGCCCTTATATATTGGGGTAACATTAGCACACTTCCAAATATTAGGTATGCAATCAGTGGATATGGATTTGTTTAAAAGTAACAGCAAGGGCTTCACAAAAGAGTCAGCAATACCTTTAATAAAATAAGGTGGAAATACATTTAGACCGGCAGTTTATTTTACAATAATAAAATTAATAAGGCTCCCTCTGTAGAAGGCCGGAGTGTAAACCACTCGACTAATCCGCCCATATATCGTTTTAAGTAGCGCAACCTTATTAACAAAACAAATAAATAAGGCAGATAACAAACTATGATAACAATACTAGTAAAACAGAATCGTTAACAGATGTCCTATGAATAGATAATCCACAACACAGTAGTTTTATCTCGGACAAGGCCATTTGTTCCGTTAATGACCAGGATCAAATGTTTGCTCAGTCGTTGATAATTCTTAAATTAAAGGAAACATAACGGCAGAATAACATAGTTACGTAATGTACACACAAAATAGTATTCCATTTCGTCGCTAATGAGGTTGAGAAATGAATATATTTAATAACTTAACAATACTATCATGTCAAGAATCCTTGATCTCATAATTTGTTTGTTTATGTTTGGTCAGCTCTTGTCTACACACCTAAAGAGTCTTGCTGAGCAGTTGTATTCCTGCCAAGAAGCCAATAATATTCTGTGACAAAACAATGAATATGTAACACGAATTTAAACTCTGCAGTATGGCGAAAATGTCTTCAGATAATGTGTATAAAGCTTGGTGACAGTCTGTTCTGTTGCTGGAATTTCAACATTAAGTAATGCTGCTTTGATCTGAACATAAATAATATGGATATTTGAAAGTGTATGATTTATTCATAAACAAACTATGATGCTCTCGAATTGACATTATTTTAATTATATCATCCTCTTAAGGATCCAAGTACCATTGCAGACAAAGCAATAGATAACTCCACAGTTTTTTGCTTACAAAAACATTAAACTCTCCTAAGTTTTGTCTTTGCTCATTCGCGTCCATTTTTTTTTTTTAATCTAAAATTATTTTTTTCCTTAAATTATAAAACTATAGATCTATTTCAGATATCAGTATTCAAGTTATTGTTATGTCGCGATAAAGCTTCCAATCATAATTGATCAAAATCAAACACATAGTGGGTCAATGAGGAATTATCAATTGATGGCACCGATGTAACGTCACATTTCAATGACGTTATGAACTACAAAATCATATTCTTGTTTGATGGCAAATTTGACACGAGTTTGAGGAAATCAATATATTCTAATCACTTAATAATATTATCATGTCTGTTAACGATTCCTTTATACAGTTGAACAAGGTTTGCTAGATAACCGGATCAAACTAATTTCTGAAAATATTTCGCCAACCGCCAAAAACCTTGAACTATGACATTGCAGTGTTACTTCGATGTCATAGCATGCTGCAATGATATCTCAATGCACTCATTAACGTTGCTTAGATGTCGGGTTATTATATTTTGACATATCAATACGGCCTAATAGTTATATGTTATTGCAATAATACATTATAATATATACTTACATAAACTTACGAAGTACCTCCTACAATAAGGCGAATGGGTGACTCAGGCGTAGTACAATTGACATATTACCTTTCTATCCATGAACAATGTTTATTTCTGAAATGTTTTTGGTGTAGGATTTGTTTGTTTGTTGACATTTGGCCGATTAATGTCCTTATGGTTCTGGAATCAGACTTACCATCGTTGCCGAGAACCATATCTAACCATAATTTAGGTGCGTGTTTGAAAACTCCTCGCTAATTGTTTTGAAATCGGTTGAACATTTTTGAGAATAACTCTAAAATGTGAAATGCTTAAGGATGGTCGTCGCGTGATGATCGACGACGAAGAAAAGGCGTTGAGGAAAAAAGCAAAAAGATAAAAGGATTGATGAAACAAAACAAAATTACTCACTCTGAGTTTGGACCTCGTGATGGGATTGGATGCCTTCGTCAACGATGGCATAAGCATGCTCCTGCTCTGTAATATATATATATATATAACTGGATATAAATGCAATACTGTCAGAACTCAGTATCACTAAATATCTTCGGAAAATACTCTGAACAAACAATGACAATCTTATGTTCTTTCATTATGTTTATGATCGTTTACACTGGACACCGGGCAAAATGCGAGCATACTAGATTTATTTACTTTTGGAAATTGTTCAACTCTAGCAGGTCATATAATTAAAAAAAGAATCAACTGCCTGAAATATAAAATGAAAACAAACCTTGTTTCTGCAGACAAAGCAGAGAATAACACTATCTTTGTCTGCACATACTATTTTATTTCCTGTTTGCAAAATGAACTAGCTTTCTTGATCATACAATTTGATCTGGTTTGCAGTCGTATTGTCACAAGTTGTACTCCAGAGGTGAATTAAATGAAGTACGGAAAAATCAACTACTGTTTAATCAAGCATGAACAGCCTCTCCTCAAAATAATTTATTTAGTAATGCTGTAGACTTTTCAACTACTAACACTACCAGACATCATACCAAACTGAAGGAATGACTTGTTTTCTTGTCATGAGAGTTTTTTTCCAGCGAAATTGCTTACGAGGATATACATTTATGCTCATATATTCTTTTGAAGAATATTTGTTACCAGCACAACAAAGGCTCAAAAGAAATATACTTAGGCTTTTATTGTGAAAATGAGTTTTTTATTACGATATCTTTGTTGAAGTCAGTGACAAGATATTCCAGCAGACTGTAGCCATTCCTATGGCAATAATATATGGCTATCTCCTGATCGCTTTTTTGTTGTTGTCTATCAGTAAGATAGCAATGAATCCAGTTCAAATCGTCGTCACAAATTCCATATTTCTTCAATTAGTAAATCATTCCACTGTGCCCAACCCTGTCAAAAGATTTGCTGATGTCACAAAATACTATCAATGTCTCTTTTCCTTGATCAAGTTGTTTTGAAGCTTCATCATATAAATATATTAATTGGTTAACTGTGGAGTCATTGGGAAGGAAGCCAGACTGATTGTTTGAGATAACATTATTCTCAGATAGAAAATTAAAGAGATGTTTAAAAACTATTTTTTCAAGAAGTTTACTAAATAATAATGCGAAAGAGATTGGTCTATAGTTACTTGGGTCACCTCTTCCTCCCTTGCCCTTATATATTGGGGTAACATTAGCACACTTCCAAATATTCGGTATGCAATCAGTGGATATGGATTTGTTTAAAAGTAACAGCAAGGGCTTCACAAAAGAGTCAGCAATACCTTTAATAAGATAAGGTGGAAATACATCTAGACCGGCAGTTTTTTTTACATTAATAAAATTAATAAGGCTGCCTCTGTAGAAGGCCGGAGTGTAAACCACTCGACTAATCCGCCCATATATCGTTTTAAGTAGCGCAACCTTATTAACAAAACAAATAAATAAGGCAGATAACAAACTATGATAACAATACTAGTAAAACAGAATCGTTAACAGATGTCCTATGAATAGATAATCCACAACACAGTAGTTTTATCTCGGACAAGGCCATTTGTTCCGTTAATGACCAGGATCAAATGTTTGCTCAGTCGTTGATAATTCTTAAATTAAAGGAAACATAACGGCAGAATAACATAGTTACGTAATGTACACACAAAATAGTATTCCATTTCGTCGCTAATGAGGTTGAGAAATGAATATATTTAATAACTTAACAATACTATCATGTCAAGGATCCTTGATCTCATAATTTGTTTGTTTAGGTTTGGTCAGCTCTTGCCTACACCCCTAAAGAGTCGTGCTGAACAGTTGTATTCCTGCCAAGAAGCCAATAATATTCTGTGACAAAACAATGAATATGTAACACGAATTTAAACTTTGCAGTATGGCGAAAATGTCTTCAGATAATGTGTATAAAGCTTGGTGACAGTCTGTTCTGTTGCTGGAATTTCAACATTAAGTAATGCTGCTTTGATCTGAACGTAAATAATATGGATATTTGAAAGTGTATGATTTATTCATAAACAAACTATGATGCTCTCGAATTGACATTATTTTAATTATATCATCCTCTTAAGGATCCAAGTACCATTGCAGACAAAGCAATAGATAACTCCACAGTTTTTTGCTTACAAAAACATTAAACTCTCCTAAGTTTTGTCTTTGCTCATTCGCGTCCATTTTTTTTTTTTAATCTAAAATTATTTTTTTCCTTAAATTATAAAACTATAGATCTATTTCAGATATCAGTATTCAAGTTATTGTTATGTCGCGATAAAGCTTCCAATCATAATTGATCAAAATCAAACACATAGTGGGTCAATGAGGAATTATCAATTGATGGCACCGATGTAACGTCACATTTCAATGACGTTATGAACTACAAAATCATATTCTTGTTTGATGGCAAATTTGACACGAGTTTGAGGAAATCAATATATTCTAATCACTTAATAATATTATCATGTCTGTTAACGATTCCTTTATACAGTTGAACAAGGTTTGCTAGATAACCGGATCAAACTAATTTCTGAAAATATTTCGCCAACCGCCAAAAACCTTGAACTATGACATTGCAGTGTTACTTCGATGTCATAGCATGCTGCAATGATATCTCAATGCACTCATTAACGTTGCTTAGATGTCGGGTTATTATATTTTGACATATCAATACGGCCTAATAGTTATATGTTATTGCAATAATACATTATAATATATACTTACATAAACTTACGAAGTACCTCCTACAATAAGGCGAATGGGTGACTCAGGCGTAGTACAATTGACATATTACCTTTCTATCCATGAACAATGTTTATTTCTGAAATGTTTTTGGTGTAGGATTTGTTTGTTTGTTGACATTTGGCCGATTAATGTCCTTATGGTTCTGGAATCAGACTTACCATCGTTGCCGAGAACCATATCTAACCATAATTTAGGTGCGTGTTTGAAAACTCCTCGCTAATTGTTTTGAAATCGGTTGAACATTTTTGAGAATAACTCTAAAATGTGAAATGCTTAAGGATGGTCGTCGCGTGATGATCGACGACGAAGAAAAGGCGTTGAGGAAAAAAGCAAAAAGATAAAAGGATTGATGAAACAAAACAAAATTACTCACTCTGAGTTTGGACCTCGTGATGGGATTGGATGCCTTCGTCAACGATGGCATAAGCATGCTCCTGCTCTGTAATATATATATATATATAACTGGATATAAATGCAATACTGTCAGAACTCAGTATCACTAAATATCTTCGGAAAATACTCTGAACAAACAATGACAATCTTATGTTCTTTCATTATGTTTATGATCGTTTACACTGGACACCGGGCAAAATGCGAGCATACTAGATTTATTTACTTTTGGAAATTGTTCAACTCTAGCAGGTCATATAATTAAAAAAAGAATCAACTGCCTGAAATATAAAATGAAAACAAACCTTGTTTCTGCAGACAAAGCAGAGAATAACACTATCTTTGTCTGCACATACTATTTTATTTCCTGTTTGCAAAATGAACTAGCTTTCTTGATCATACAATTTGATCTGGTTTGCAGTCGTATTGTCACAAGTTGTACTCCAGAGGTGAATTAAATGAAGTACGGAAAAATCAACTACTGTTTAATCAAGCATGAACAGCCTCTCCTCAAAATAATTTATTTAGTAATGCTGTAGACTTTTCAACTACTAACACTACCAGACATCATACCAAACTGAAGGAATGACTTGTTTTCTTGTCATGAGAGTTTTTTTCCAGCGAAATTGCTTACGAGGATATACATTTATGCTCATATATTCTTTTGAAGAATATTTGTTACCAGCACAACAAAGGCTCAAAAGAAATATACTTAGGCTTTTATTGTGAAAATGAGTTTTTTATTACGATATCTTTGTTGAAGTCAGTGACAAGATATTCCAGCAGACTGTAGCCATTCCTATGGCAATAATATATGGCTATCTCCTGATCGCTTTTTTGTTGTTGTCTATCAGTAAGATAGCAATGAATCCAGTTCAAATCGTCGTCACAAATTCCATATTTCTTCAATTAGTAAATCATTCCACTGTGCCCAACCCTGTCAAAAGATTTGCTGATGTCACAAAATACTATCATTGCCTCTTTTCCTTGATCAAGTTGTTTTGAAACTTCATCATATAAATATATTAATTGGTTAACTGTGGAGTCATTGGGAAGGAAGCCAGACTGATTGTTTGAGATAACATTATTCTCAGATAGAAAATTAAAGAGATGTTTAAAAACTATTTTTTCAAGAAGTTTACTAAATAATAATGCGAAAGAGATTGGTCTATAGTTACTTGGGTCACCTCTTCCTCCCTTGCCCTTATATATTGGGGTAACATTAGCACACTTCCAAATATTCGGTATGCAATCAGTGGATATGGATTTGTTTAAAAGTAACAGCAAGGGCTTCACAAAAGAGTCAGCAATACCTTTAATAAAATAAGGTGGAAATACATCAAGACCGGCAGTTTTTTTTTACATTAATAAAATTAATAAGGCTGCCTCTGTAGAAGGCCGGAGTGTAAACCACTCGACTAATCCGCCCATATATCGTTTTAAGTAGCGCAACCTTATTAACAAAACAAATAAATAAGGCAGATAACAAACTATGATAACAATACTAGTAAAACAGAATCGTTAACAGATGTCCTATGAATAGATAATCCACAACACAGTAGTATTATCTCGGACAAGGCCATTTGTTCCGTTAATGACCAGGATCAAATGTTTGCTCAGTCGTTGATAATTCTTAAATTAAAGGAAACATAACGGCAGAATAACATAGTTACGTAATGTACACACAAAATAGTATTCCATTTCGTCGCTAATGAGGTTGAGAAATGAATATATTTAATAACTTAACAATACTATCATGTCAAGAATCCTTGATCTCATAATTTGTTTGTTTATGTTTGGTCAGCTCTTGTCTACACACCTAAAGAGTCTTGCTGAGCAGTTGTATTCCTGCCAAGAAGCCAATAATATTCTGTGACAAAACAATGAATATGTAACACGAATTTAAACTCTGCAGTATGGCGAAAATGTCTTCAGATAATGTGTATAAAGCTTGGTGACAGTCTGTTCTGTTGCTGGAATTTCAACATTAAGTAATGCTGCTTTGATCTGAACATAAATAATATGGATATTTTATTCATAAACAAACTATGATTCTCTCGAATTGACATTATTTTAATTATATCATCCTCTTAAGGATCAAAGTACCATTGCAGACAAAGCAATAGATAACTCCACAGTTTTTTGTTTACAAAAACATTAAGCTCTCCTAAGTTTTGTCTTTGCTCATTCGCGTCCGTTTTATTTTTTTTAATCTAAAATTATTTTTTTCCTTAAAGTATAAAACTATAGATCTATTTCAGATATCAGTATTCAAGTTATTGTTTTGTCGCGATAAAGCTTCCAATCATAATTGATCAAAATCAAACACATAGTGGGTCAATGAGGAATTATCAATTGATGGCACCGATGTAACGTCAACTTTCAATGACGTTATGAACAACAAAATCATATTCTTGTTTGATGGCAAATTTGACACGAGTTTTAGGAAATCAATATATTCTAATCACTTAATAATATTATCATATCTGTTAACGATTCCTTTATACAGTTGAACAAGGTTTGCTAGATAACCGGATCAAACTAATTTCTGAAAATATTTCGCCAACCGCCAAAAACCTTGAACTATGACATTGCAGTGTTACTTCGATGTCATAGCATGCTGCAATGATATATCAATGCACTCATTAACGTTGCTTAGATGTCGGGTTATTATATTTTGACATATCAGTACGGCCTAATAGTTATATGTTATTGCAATAATACATTATAATATATACTTACAAAGTACCTCCTACAATAAGGCGAATGGGTGACTCAGGCGTAGTACAATTGACATACTACCTTTCTATCCATGAACAATGTTTATTTCTGAAATGTTTTTGGTATAGGATTTGTTTGTTTGTTGACATTTGGCCGATTAAATTCCTTATGGTTCTGGAATCAGACTTACTATCGTTGCCGAGAACCATATCTAACCATAATTTAGGTGCGTGTTTGAAAACTTCTCGCTAATTGTTTTGAAATCGGTTGAACATTTTCGAGAATAACTCTAAAATGTGAAATGCTTACGGATGGTCGTCGCGTGATGATCGACGACGAAGAAAAGGCGTTGAGGAAAAAAGCAAAAAGATAAAAGCATATATGAAACAAAACGAAATTACTCACTCTGAGTTTGGACCTCGTGATGGGATTGGATGCCTTCGTCAACGATGGCATAAGCATACTCCTGCTCTGTAATATGTATATACATAACTGGATATAAATGCAATACTGTCAGAACTCAGTATCACTAAATATCTTCGGAAAATACGCTGAACAAACAATGACAATCTTATGTTCTTTCATTAGGTTTATGATCTTTTACACTGGACACCGGGCAAAATGCGAGCATACTAGATTTATTTACTTTTGGAAATTGGTCAACTCTAGCAGGTCATATAATTAAAAAAAGAATCAACTGCCTGAAATATGAAATGAAAACAAATCTTGTTTCTGCAGACAAAGCAGAGAATAACACTATCTTTGTCTGCACATACTATTTTATTTCCTGTTTGCAAATGAACTAGATTTCTTGATCGTACAATTTGATCTGGTTTACAGTCGTATTGTCACAAGTTGTACTCCAGAGGTGAGTTAAATGAAGTATGGAAAATTCAACTACTGTTTAATCAAGCATGAACAGCCTCTCCTCAAAATTAATTTATTTAGTAATGCTGTAGACTTTTCAACTACTAACACTACCAGACACCATACCAAACTGAAGGAATGACTTGTTTTTTTTATCATGAGAGTTTTTTTCCAGCGAAATTGCTTACGAGGATATACATTTATGCTCATATATTCTTTTGAAGAATATTTGTTACCAGCACAACAAAGGCTCAAAAGAAATATACTTAGGCTTTTATTGTGAAAATGAGTTTTTTATTACGATATCTTTGTTGAAGTCAGTGACAAGATATTCCAGCAGACTGTAGCCATTCCTATGGCAATAATCTATGGCTATCTCCTGACCGCCATTTTTGTTGTCATATGAGGCTGAATTTATTGATGAGTTTATCGGGACTTCAACCGCGTTCCTCGATATTCATTTCAACATGACCAAAATGGACCAAAAGTGTGATTGATAATCCCCATATTGATTTTGTTGGGAAATATCATTTCACTTTCTGCATTTCAATATTCTCGAAACGAACAAATCGCCGTAATAAAAATTAGAAAACAGACAAAAAATGTTACCGTCGTCGCCATTGTTACGTCGTCCATGGATGGTTACTCTGCTTTGGAGTTCGAGGCTGGTGGTGTTGTCTTGGGTGTTTTGGTTGAGGTTGGCATCAGTTTGATCTTTACCAATATAACAAAAAAATACAGCATTAATTGTCACAAAATTATGGAGTATGCATCTTTCATACCGTGGTCTATTAAGCAAGGATGTTTTAGCAAACGATGTGCCCTACGCATCAGTATTGTTAACGGACTTTTTAAAGTCCATATATTAGCAAGAACGTAACGCATATTTACATTTAAATAGATAGTCATTCTAATCTCTTTCTTGTTTTAACGGTATTTCGTCAAGAGGTTTGATCAGTAAAGTTAGTATTGTCACAATCAGGTCAGTCACGTCACAATGGTGATATCTTGATTAAATAATGTTGTGGTGTCAAAATACGTATTGCAGTCTTTATGCTTTGCAATGGAAGGTTGCAGAATAATTAAAAATGTTAAATATATATTCCACGCATATCCACTTTTTACATAAATTGAAACACACACATGATATATTTGAAGAAACCCGGACTCAAGATATAGAATAGCTATTAAGTTGATTTAGGACCCTGCTCAATGGTCCAGTAATCGTTGTCTGGCATCGAGTGTCGCAACATACTTTCATTTCCCTAGACACCATAGTTCATTAATTGAAAACATTTTACAGATCAAGCAGCCGGTTAAACTGTTACTATCAAAAAAAGCATAGAATTTTTCACAATATATCTGATATGTAAAGAATAAAACATCCAAAAATTATATCTATAAAAAAATCATATTGTCTCCGAAAATGTAGCTTTCGATTAAATATTACCAGGAAATAATATAACTTGATCAATACACGTTTGACCTAATCTAGGAAAGACTTGATTAACTGTGATGAACAAAATCTCGATTCCGATTGTCAATATTAACCTTTTAGTGTATAGTTATCCTATACCAGATAAGGGAAAATCTATGATAAACTTCTTCTGTTCTATAAACGTCTGACAAGTTAAGTCTGGTCAATCTCCGTTATAATGGTTACTTTTGGATACTGGCATTGTATAAATGGTGACTAATTGCTCTGGTAGAGTTCGTTTCCAAGATGCCTAGTTGTATGTGGAACCAAGTACTAGCTCACATGGAAATACGCTCTGGCTTATGTTGGCTATGCACTTGTTCATTTACTAAAGTAGCAATATGTACCGGTTCACGAGCAACATTGATCTGATACACTTGAGACTGTGTACAGGGTAACACAGAGTACTGTTTAATTCTTACCATATTATATTCGACTGATTTAACCAGACTTAATATGTGATATCCGTTTCTAATGGTAACTCCGTCGGGAATCACGACTAGCCAATCCGAGTTTAATTGATATCAGAAGAGAGTAATCTAATTCTTCAAACAATAACCTTTGACCTTTGAACAAATCTCACATAACTGACATGTATGACCTTTGAAGAAAGTCATTCTTATTTTTTGAAGTTCAAAGCCTATTCTTCAAAATCGTACAGGAAAATATCAAGTCTGGTTCTGTAAAGAATACGTTTCAAGGAAAAGCTGATGACATCAGTTCGCTCAGAGGCACTTCCTTTACGTGAACTAAAATGTCCGTGTTGTTCTAGACTGACACGTGATATGATTGTCTTTGTTACCTTGTTGACGTTGTCTCCGTTTGATGACTAAGGCGGCGATTACCACAAAACAAACCAGGACAACTACACCGCATATCCCTAAACCGATAGTCAGGTTTAACTGTGTGTTAGGCTTCTGCGGAATCTCTGGAAATAAACAGGCGTGGATAAAGACTTCAATGAGGATTCTGCTGCTGATTGCTCCAATAAATGATTACTATGAGATGTTAACAAATACATCCGCAATGGTTAGATGATATTTAAACATGAACGGAAGTAAGTTCTAATTATTCAACGGAAATAATACAGAAAAGAAATGTCTTACACGAAAATTACAACTTGTGTTTAAAGCACGTGAATATTATATTTATGATTACCTTCATAAAATGTTTGCGAGTATTATGTTTAATCATAGCAGTCGAAGCTACACAAGTAGTTACGCTCTTCGTATAGGATAATAGGATAGTATATAGTTAGTAAAGATGGAGGAAAGATGCTATACTAAAGGTGTGATATGTTCTTGATGTCGAGGGAATAGCGTAGCCAATACCTTTCTTGTTATTGTAAAAAGCTTTTTTTTTTTTTTTTTTAGAAAAATGCGAGGTTGTACATCAATGCAAACGGAACAAAATGGACAAACACTCTGCTGCATTACACCTAGAACTTTGATACCGTCATAACCTCCCCTTGAATATTAATTATTGACGAACTTTATTCTGAGGTGCAATTTGTACCGGTTGCCTGATTACTATCTGGCGATGTTGACGAACATTTTTCGACATTGTTGTCCTTTATAGTTGTGTCCATAGCCTTCAACGCTATAGTTCTCCCGGCACACAGGCAATTCATGATACGTGTAGTCTGAGCACTGATCGGTTAACGGAGAGTGCTTATTGCGTGCTATGCAGTCTCAGCAGTAATCTTGAATATGTTGCGCTGACATGACAACCAAATGTCGAGTGGTCGATACACGCGCATAATGGCCCATAGGCTGATTAGAAACTGACCAAAGGCCAGGCAATTGCACAGAAACTATTTTTGGACCGAACAATAACAAACAGCTGTGACACAACCGTTTGACTAGGACAACCCATTAACATTGTAATTTCGATGACTCTCTTAACTTACTCTAAACCTGGAATGTATTTTAATGTCAAAGTCAAAATGTATGTCTTTTGTAACTGATGTGGCATTTTTGGAACAATCGTTGTAAAAAATATTAGTTAGCCTAACCAGTTAGGTCATATCGGTTAATCGCTGCCTGACCTTTTTGATACACTATAAGTTCCCGAGGTAATCAGTAACCTTTTAGCTAGAATTTATATTGAGCGCATTATACATGATATACCGGTTTGAAAAAAATATGTAGTTGAAATTAGAAAGGATTTTACAAATACCACAAGATCCAAAAAGTATGAAATAAAGATTAAGTATTGAAAAACTTCATCATGAAATCATATACATGTTTATTTTCAAATAACAACTAAAACTCATGGTGTTGTCTTGCTTTCCAATCAACACTTGACCAATTCTTATTATGAGATGAAAAATCATGCATAATAAATTACACTAAACTCTAGGAAATCGCTTTGTTTTAATTTTACTGATACACAAAACAAAACAAAAACACAAAAAAACTTAATATACATTTATACCATGCATGTTAAGAAATACAAACTTACCCAAAGTTCTGACCCTTATCTCAGTGGACATTCCTGATCTATGTCTGGTGGACACGTTCAATCTGATGACGTAGTCGGTAGCAGGAGTAAGGTCAAACAATGGGTATGTCATCTGCAACCCCTGACCAGCATCAGGAATATCCACGCTGCTAACTGGTAACCATTCACTCCCAACAGTCTTGAAGTCTATGTTAAAGTGTTGAGAAAAACCTCCATTAAACCCAGATGTCCACACGACGTTGACGTAGTTGTCACTTACTTTTGAGGCACGGAAGTCCATCGGTATATCGGGTACACCTGTAGAATAACATATAGACCATCAGAGAACTAACCCATTCACTAACCCAGTCATTGCAGGGTCCAAGTGTTTATAAGTAAATATTTAAAAATCAATTTAAACAGACAAATTTCAGACGACAGATACATATTTTTCCGCTGTTACTACAGATCGAATAATTTCATTTTCTTTCTCTCTTTGTTTCATCTTCCTTCACCAAGAACGACGAACATCAATATAATATATATATTCGGGTGATAATTACTTAGAGCATATTTTGTGAAACACACATAAAGTCTTATTCAAATACGCTGAGTATGAAATAGTGAAAATATCTTCGTTTAGTTTGCTGGGTTTTTTTTAATTTCAGTTGAACTTTTCTCTTTTTTACAGTAACACCCCTGCTTCCACAGCCTAGTGTCGCAGTAGATTCGATGAAGCAAACGACACCTTACTTATAGGAAATCCTGAATATATTCTCCTTGTTTCAAGGTTTTGCTGTCGGTGATCTTCTCTTAATAATGAATCAGCAAAACTGATCAAATATACCTACTCTAATTACATTTTGAGTTTTTATATCTTGTTAAGTAAATATAATAAAACGGATACTACTGTATTACATTAAGTGTAAGCTGTGTAATAGGGATCCCAGTACCCTTGGCACAAATCTATTTTAAACATTGGACACATTTGTTTTACAGGCATGACAATAACATAAAAAGGCTGTCGAACACGCCTTAGCCACTTGGCCACCGCGGCCCCAGGCGCATCATTAGACGGTCACCCTTTAAGTCAGAGCTTCATACGTTAAAACATTCTGCTTTTATTATTAATAGAAATACCAATATTTTTTTCTGTGAAAGAATGTTTTCCTTCCAGACTTAAAAAATATGAAATATAAGGATAAGACTTACTAGCAATATATTTGAATAACGATGTATAAACCGCAAACCGAAGCGCACTCTGAATGAACCGATAAACAAATTGATTGTCTAATCAAATCCTAAGTTAATAATTAAGACAAGGAACATAGATGTTTACCTTCAGGGCTAATCTGGAAGTGGACCGTTAACACATTCGGTAAAGTATTGGTGGCATTCAGGTGGTACCTCTGAAAGTCTGACTGTGTGGTAATTATGACCTCCCCTTTCATAGTATACGTATACGCGTTGTTGTGTACGACATCAAGTGCTCTCACACCGTCAGACCATTTACTCGTGGGCATTGGGTTAGCGACCACAGTTACATTGAGTACAGCTGTCTGACCTTTTTTCCCTGTCACTCTGATAATGCTATTCATAGTATTAAATCTTCTCGGGGCGCCTACAATAAAAATAAACATACATGAACAGCATCATTTATAGATGTGTCCAATAGATTCAAGCATGTGTGAGGTGTATGGATATGGATATTCTTCCAAGGAAAATGGGTCAGAATCAGAACCGAGATTTTGTCGGGGTTCTAAAATCCAAGTCTGCACCCTTGCGTATTATTCCAATATCCACTATAACTACATATCTAAATATCTACATAACTATTGACTCTTTCTCTCACCTCTTAACCACATTATTGGCACGCACGACAAAGACGATTGCAAATGTAACACATAATACAGCAATATTTTTAATGATGTCTACACAAACTAAGCTCATGTTTAGAAATATAAACAGAAAAACGTACGGCATAACAGAGTTGTGCCAAATTTTGGCCATGACACAAACAGTTCAAAGCAGACGAATGTTTTCTTTTTGTTATTATTGTTAGTTAATAATGATTCTGGTTAGGTAACTTAAAAGGATGTTTAAAGTGTTTTTTTTGCAAATTTTAAGCATTTTAAATCAGAAATACTCAGTTTATACTTACAACTGACTTGAAGTTCAAACTGTCTCCCCGAGGTGATGACATTACTTCTATTCCGAGGAACGAGGTTAACCGATCTGACGTCATACCTTCCTGTATTGTTGCACTGGAGGTTATTTAATTTGATGTCATATATTCCAGTACTGACAGTTACGCCGACTGCGAGTCTTGTCTGGTTACGTAATAGGTCGACGTCAGCCGGTGGGTTACTGTCAACATTAACACGGAGTTCCAAGCTTGACCCTTCTGTGTATCTAACTTCACTACTGCCAAACTGCATGTATTGGTTATCAACACCGTTCCGATACTTCAATTCCGTGATATTGGGAGGGACTGTGGATAGTGAGAACTTAATGCTTCAGACGTACAAATATGTACGACAATACATTATTCACTGGTTAGTTGGTAGAAAATACACAGTTAAACATTTTGCATTGAATCTTGAATTAATTGGACATGCATTTGTTTACAATAAACATATCGTTTCCTTTTATGAAGAGTATGACTAATTACTTTTCTAAAAGATAGTAATAAGATTATGTAAGTTCGGTAAAAATATTCATTTTGATTGGTCAATAGCAAAACTGGGATGTCTCTCTCTCTGACATGTAACAAATATTGGATTACGTATTGATCAATCAGAGTCGTATTTTCCAATCTCTGCATTAAAGCATTAAAGGCAACATATTTTCTCTTCATGCACACGAATCTACAATGTTTTGTTTGTATAGGTTATTCCTACCTTACTAACACAAAGATATTTACCTAAAACCTAGCATGCAGCTTTGTCAATTGTCCAGTATGACGTGATTATAATATTGCACCAGAAATTACAAAATGCGAATCTGATTCCTGATATTTTGAACGATTTGGTTACATTTAAGTTATTGTTTAAACTTTAAAACATAATAAAAAGAAAAATAAGAGTGTTCCTGTTAAATGCCATACATTCATTATATGCATTTTATGGTCAGTAGCATGATATAATAATATCTTTTTTATTCCCTGCATTCCTGGAAATATCTATTCTTATTCTTATTAAGTATATAAATGTTATTTAATGGGAGAGCCATAAATAATCTCACCACTTATAACCTAGATAGCTTGACGAGTATGCACAGTTATCTGTTTTATGGTTATATACATGTTTGTTGTAAAAATATGGCTGATAAACATCTGATGGTTATATGTCCCACAACACATTGTTGTAAGACCCTTATCTGATGGTTGTAAGTCCTACAACACAAAGTTGCAAGTCCCTGTTCTGATGGTTGTAAGTCCTACAACACATGGTTGTATTACCCTTATCTGATGGTGCTGACTCCTACAACACATGGTTGTAAGACCCTTATCTGACGGTTGTAAGTCACACAACACATGGTTGTATTACCCTTATCTGATGGTGCTGACTTCTACAACACATGGTTGTAAGACCCTTATCCGACGGTTGTAAGTCACACAACACATGGTTGAAAGTCCCTTTTCTGATGGTTGCAAGTCCTACAACACATGGTTGTATTTCCCTTATCTCATGATGCTGACTTCTACAACACATGGTTGTAAGTTCCTTATCAGATGGTTCTAAGTCCTACAACACATTGTTGTTAGTCCCTTATCTGATGGTTCTAAGTCTTACAACTCATGGTTGTAAGTCCCTTATCTGAATTTTGTAAGTATTACAACTCATGTTTGTTTGTCCCACATGTGGTTAGCTCTTCGTAAGATGTAAATATGCCCTTCATTTGATGGTTGTGGGTCCTACGGGCAACTATTGCTGTAAGTCTAACATCTAATGGTTGCAAGTACCATATCTGACGTCTGTAAGTCCTATATATTATGGTTTTAAATCATTTATGTGATAGTTGTGATCACTTATAATATGATCCTATTCCTAACGCACCTTAGAGTGGGATGGCGTTAGCCTCTTTTTGAGTTCAAATTAAAATATTTTACTCTCCTGTGAAAGATTAATAACTTGTTGGTAAAAATCCAACTGCACGTTTCAGAGGAGCTATTATTTGAAAGATTTACAAATTTTGATCAATTTTGACCCCGTCTTTTAGGGTTCAACCTCTCCCTGAGTCAAAATTCTGGTCCTTATTATCATAAGAATATGTAAAGACATGGTCTACATCCAAATACAATTTTCATGACAGATGTCATTTGAAGATTTCGCACGAAGTGACAACTTATGTTAAGGCATCTCCAGGCAACCTTCTTAAGTATAGATTCTGGTCCCTACACTAGGCTGATAATTACTTCTGAAATTCATCAAGTCCGAGAAACGTTTTAGAATAAGTCTAAAATGTATATCTGTTTACACATGACAGGCAACAACGGATGAAAAGTCATTCTAATAAGTCATCTGAGTAACAGGTGATCTGAACAAGAGCAATAAGTCTGTAACTAGATAATGATTAACAATATGATAGACGTATACAAGAACAATATAAGAATGGTAGAACATGGCAAGTTTCAAGCGAACGAGACAGAACTTAAGGAACTAGCTGTCCAGATCGATAGCTAATTTATGAAATAATTATCATTGCCAAACAAGTGATTAGATAATCAAAAGTTATAAACCAGGACAAATATTAAACATAAAGTTCGGGGTTCAATTATTTAAAAGGTGATTAGCCTGCTCATTAATTAGCACAATTTGTCTTTAACCTTAAAATGCAACGATTAACTGAGTTAGAAAGATTTCCATCCAACAAAGATTTTGGTAGAATAAAATATCATGCAAAGAATCCAGTTTTTTACATTGTATATCGACAAAAATCATTACAGATTGAAAATGGGTTTTTAACAGTGATTAAGCTTATCACTTTTGAATAACTGAGTCCAGATCACATATGTTTTGTACTTACAATAAACAATAACTGTTGTGCTATTTTCTAGTGTCGGTGCAGTAAAACCTGCAGATGATGCCACTTTTACTTGACAAGTATAAGTTACCTCCCTTACTCTCGGGAGTAAGGGGTCTATCCACTCCAGTTCATTACCGGAATCCCTACGTGATTGAATGAATAGTTTGCCTTGTCTCCGCCACTCCAATAAACAAAAAGGGTTGCAGTCGGTTCTACAGGACATAGGACCGTAGGCATTTCCACTGATCACTGGAGATTTATCCTCCTTGCTCTCTATCGTAACAAACTGTGGTCCATCTGCAAGAGAACCAGTCCAAGATTTAACGTATCCTCCTGTGACATAAATGTCGTCTGTGTGTGTTATAATGTTCAATAAAAATGATTTTCAGGCTAAGCTTATATTCATTAAATAAAATATTTGACTTCATTTCAATATTTTGAGGCATTTCAATCTAACAACTGTTCCAAAGTTGTTTTTTTCAACCCACCATTAGCGGCACGATGCAATGCAGTATATATGGCTATATAATCGGGACCTCAATTGTTTCAAGGTTGTCTCTTGCTAACCTGTCCCCCAGGGGTGTGGCCTGACCCTAGAGTCACTTCCAGTTACCTAATTGGTTTTGTCTATTTATTGTATATATGGTTACGGCGTAGGGATCTTAACCACTTATTACCCAGCTTTAACCCTGGGACTAAGTCTTCGAGGGTGGGGCAAGACTCTGTAGTCATCCTGGTAGAACGTGTGCGTTCGTCTTAATTGTTTCAATGTATTGACCCAATAACTATGTGATTATGTGGTCAGAAGTTTTGTATTGACCCTCTGCCTCTCGTTAGACAGTCCCTTCTTTTTGTACAATTTTAAATTTCCACCATCTGATAACGCTTTCAATTAAATACGGCTGATATCAATTATTAAGCTAATTTTTGGTTTGCCCATAAGCCCCCTGGAGGTTGGGGTATGGGGGATCTTAATCCCGACAATTGTACAACTTTGAATTCCAACTACCTGAGGAAAAAATTCAATCAAAGGACCTGTTACAGGAACAAAAGAATTTTGCCCACAAAGCAATTTAACCATTACTGGGTTATATTTGTAGCTCCCTAAGACACGACCCATGAGATATTTTTAAAAAATTAAAAAGGTCCCCAGGGCCTGTGCTATGAACTATTTAGTGCCGCCTTCCAAAGGTGTACGACAGGGTTCACTTTTTTGTCCAAAAAACTATCAAAACAATGTTTTACGCTATCAAATAATATTATATTATTTAAAGTAGGATCTGCTGCAAATTATGAA